CGGCGGGGCGGACGGCGGCGGCAGGGGCTCCCGGGAAGGCAGGGCTGAAGCCCCAGCGCCGGCCGAGTCCTGGCGGGTGCCCGCCGCGGTCCCGCTACAAAAGGCCGGTGGCGGCCGGGGAGCTGAGGGTCCGACTGCCCTGTCGCTGGCGGCCGGGCCGTCCCGGGGCGGCCGGGCTTCCCCCGGGGCGGGCTGGGGCTTTCTCCGGCGGCTCCCCCGTCTTCCCCGGGCTCGGTCTGCGCTTCCTCGCCCCGTCCCTGCCCAGCGCCTCCTTCCCGGGTGCTTTTCTGCGGACCTGCTCTTCTTTCCCAATAAAATAAGAAACGCGCCTTTATTTCTTTTCTTTCTCCCTTTTTTCCCTTTCCGTGGGAAGCGAGAGGCAGCGTGGAGCGGTGGGCCGGGCTCTCCGGTGGGGCGGTTGTGGCGGGGTCCGGCTGGCTGCCATCTGCCCGTGCGGTGTTGGCTTCCCTCCGGTGCCGGTTTGCGTGTTGGTGGGGCGCCCCTCCGGGCTTCGGGAGGGGAAAACTGACCCTTCTGCTTCTTCTCACCCTAGGCGGTTTGGATTGCAGAGAGCCCCGGGCGTTTGAAGCCTTTCGCTTCGGCTGGGAGGGAGGAAAAAAAAAAAAAAAAAAAAAAAAAAAAAGAGGTGGAAAGCGACCAGCGGCAGCTGCCTCTTGTGAAAGGGGAGGAATATCAGACGCTGCTCCGGGATTATTTGTTCGAGTCCTTCGTCCTGAAAAGGCTTCTGACACAGTCCGTCTGAGGAGCGACTTGCAAGTTTGCAGTTGTGAGCTTTTTCCTTCCGGCAGTGCTGAGCACTTCACCCTTGGACGTTTTTGTCATCATGGCATGGATACGTGGCTAAATTTACCAACTTCTGAATACTTCAGCTGCCAAAATAAAGTGCTTTATTTCTTTTAAATACTTTTTTTTTTTTTTCTTTTAGGCAGCGTTCTGTCTGAGTCATAGGCATAACCAGTTTTATTAACTGGCTCCAGGATAAATGCAGCCTGAGTCACTGTGTAGACGTCGCTGAAAAGTTTCATGGCAGATATTTTTCTCTTTGTCTTATTTTTTAGATTTTCTGACGTAGCCTTCTGTTATTTTGCAATGAGACCTATTTTCTAAATGAAGAATCTGACAGACGTTTGTTTATCATTTTTTCTTTTATATTTTATTTAATATTTTTGTTAAAAAATGTTGTTGCCAATAAGCAGTATGGAGGTATCCAGATAGCTGTTGTTTACAAATGCATCTGTTACCTGAAGCTAAGAAACGTTCTACAGTTCAGATGTGAAATTTGGATTTTCAGCTTTACAGTTGTTGGTGTAAAAAGTGTATATTTATTTCACCTGGAGCTGATGCTTCATATAGCGATATGTACATGGAATAGACAAGAGAAGAAGCCGTCATAGAAAAAAAGCACTTTTTAAGTCAGAGAGTTGGCAAATTTTGGAAATAGTCTTGTGGAAACTAAGCAAGAAGGATGGGTAGCTGATTCCTGTGAGGCCAGATCTATGTCAAACAGCTACGAATGTAGTATCAACGAGAACTCGGAATATTATCTCAAGGAAAACAAACTGGAAAAATATAAATCGCACAGTACCAACACCTTGTGTAGTACTCTTGGATTCGGTAAGTGTTGTAGTGGGTCATAGATCAATTTATACTTGAATAAACATTTTATCAGTAGAACGGTTAAACCGCTAATGGATACTGCCTAGAGGTTGTTGATTTTTTTGAAAACATTGAAATGAGCTTGCAGAATCTAATTTTTCCTTGCTGCTTTTATTAATGGAATAATTCTTTTAAGAGTTTGAAGAACACATGTACAAGGGGAAATGTGTAGGTAGGAGTGTGATTTTTCTAGGAGATAAAAAATAGGTGCACCTAGCCTGAATTTATAGGTAATCCAGCCTTCACGTTAATATTGAATCATGTGCAATATTAAGCTATTGTACTTACTGAACAAGTCTGCTAGATGGCTTGCACATCTTAGTCTTTCTATTTGTATTAGATGTTTTGTAGCATGAAGGTAGTAATAGTTTTGTTTGATGGTGGGTTTTTTTTTTTTATTTCCTTCCGCTGTTTCTTGTCACTTATGGAAGCCAGATATTTTTAATGTGTTGGTATTTTAAGGTTGGATTCAGAGTAATTTCCTGTACTGTGATGGGAGTGAATGAGCCTGAGTGGTCTGCTTGTACAACATTAAAAAAAACCTTCCACCTTTTTGGAGGGATTCAAACCAAAATCTAGTGGTGAACTAACTAATTTTACATGTTATTTTTAGATTTATTGCTGTCCCCTTCTTCCCATAGTGGTTAAATGTTTCTGAAGATTGGTGTAGTTTAAGCGTTGAAATTAATGTGTTTATAATAATTTTTTGTAGGTTTGCATTCAGCTGAATTGCTACTGCCTCAAAGAAAATTAAGATGGACTGAACAACTTAACTCAAAAGTCAGTGGTAATTTCCCTTAAGTTCTCTCCCCCCTACTCCACCTTGATTATTCATAAAGCCTTAAATAATTAAAGCATTATTGGTTAGACTGTAAACTGAGTGTCTGGTAAAGGTGACACATTTGCCTTAGTCGTCATCTTTTATAAAGTTTTCAGAGCGTCTGCAATACTGAAGTATTAGTAGGAGCGAGCAAAATAAAAGATTTTCTCTAAGGGCAATGCAAAGATGTTTGAGAGTGTGGCTTGTGTTAAAGCCTTGTAGAAAATGTGAAGTTAAGCATGTGAACTGTGTCTAAAGATTACTACTGTGTTCCCCACCACTACCCCGGTACATGGTTTTTTTTACCACAAATGAAAGACTTGCATCTAAATAAGTTTTTTAAACTCTCAGGCTTACTAAAGCAGTTTCATTCTGCATGTTGTCTTGGTAGTATCTAAAAATTGATCTAGCTTTGGTATTTTGCTTTCTTTGGATGGCCTTGCTGTTTTGTTATTTTAACTTCAGTTTAATTTCAGTTTTGTTGTTTTGAAAACTTGGAAACTGTGGAACATGAATAGGAGGCTGTTTCTTGTAATTTCTTGCGGCTGTGGCTTGTGGTTCTTCTGCGTTCAGTGTCAGCGTGGCTGGGGATTGACTGACTGAACTGAGGCACATGTAAAGGAACCAAACCAACAGAATAATGATCTTCCTTATTCCTTTAGTTGGATTAATCTGTGTTTCGTTGGAAAGCATTTGGTAAATGGAAATACTTCAGGTGTGAGTGGCCATTTCCTTTGATTTTTGTCTACTGTATGGTCATAAACAATAGTAATACAAGTCCTTGCTTCTTAACTCATAGAAAAAGTGATGTATCTCTTTTTTTGAGCTATTAGATGTTAGTGCTGTGAGATACTTTCACGTCTTTACAAGAGGCTCTCACTGAAATCAGAGCTGCAGTCCCCACTTACAGTTTTGGATGATGTCTTTATTTGGACTCTTTCCTTTCTGGATGTTTTGAAGAGTTTGCTTTTTAGTTTCATTAAATTAACGTTGTCTTTGCATCTTCCTCCATTCTGGTAGGAGGATTCTTTTTTCTCTTCACTGAGTTTACACTTGGGAAGTGCAGTTGTTCTTATTAGTAGGCATATGTATTTCAGGCTGTGCTCTAAGCAAAATTCCTACTTGGGTGAGGCCCATTGAGGAGAAAATGCCTGGCATGCTGGTCGACTTTAATGCCTTCTTTAGGCTTTTTATTTGTATAGTGTTGACAGTCTCTTAAGAGATTTGCAGACATCTACAGATAAGATCCTTGCCCCCAAGAGCTTAGACTTTAAGCCTTGATGTAAACATAGCTTTTGTACTGGAATAACAACAGTATGGCTCTTTTACCGATGCATTTATTCTGGTAGAATTCTAAAATGGGTATGTTTGTATTGAGAAATTGTCTTGAATGGTGTAGACTGATCTGCTGTGTATGATGGAAGCTTTTAAGAATAAGCAGAGTTTAAACTTGCAGGAAACTTAAGTGGAATTACTTCTGTAAACTGATACAGGGAAATTGTAGTAGATATTTAGCTTTGTTAGTACTTCACAAGTTAATGTACTTTATGCTCCTTTTTTAACCTCTCTTCTAATGAGATGGTTCTGCTTAAAACATGTGGGTAAAACAGCATGACAGTGGTAGTTCATCAGTGACTTGTGGGGAAGTTGCTTTTATTTATTTTTCAGTACTAGGAGTAAGTTCTGTCCTGCAAGGAGAACTATTTGCAGACCTTAGTGTAAACGAACTTCTGGCATGCTTTTTGTTTTGGTTTTTGTAACTGTGTGTGATTGAGCAGTAGTATTACACAGCAACTGGTGATAATACCTTGTGTGGTGCTGTCAGCTCTTCCACAATCACTTCCTTTAATATTCTGGGAAAGAGCTGAAATACACATAATTGTTCTGCTTTACATGCTCAGGATATGTCAAAACCACTACCTTTTTCAACTGCTTTTTCTTACAATCCTGGTGGAGACTGCAAAGTGCAAAAGAATTCCTGGCGATTTTGTTACTTAGTGTATGCTGAGCAGGATGGTGATGTTACTGCACTAACACTTCAGCTTTTGGACTTTGAACCTTGCAAAGGGCAACAGATTAGCCTTTATCCAGCTTTCTGCTAAGTGGCCCTGCAAGTATGCAGGGTTTCAAGCAGAGTGAACCCTGTTGTAGTTAACTTTCAAATATAAAGTTACTCTGTGTTATGAAATAGTTTGCTTCTTTTATTTTACATTTTGGTACAGTGCAAGGTGGAAGAGCTTTTTTGATTAAAGTGGTGATTAAGTTATTCAGAGCACTCACCTTAACTTTGGCTGTATCTAAAAAAATTCCTAAAAGTTGCTTTGATTGTTGTGACATTAATATTTGATTCATAGATGTGTTTTAAGCCCTGTTTCTTGTGAACCATATCTCTATAGATAGATACCCCATCATAAAGAGCAGTGGTTGGGATTTCTAGAACTCCAGTGTCCCTGCAAGTCTGCCGACATTCTAGGTTCTTATGCAGAACAAAGTGTGCTTTAGTTGATTCATTGTCACTTAAGGAACTTGATTCCTATCCCTAAGTAGAAGTGAAGGTGGGTTTTCCTTAGGTTTTTTTTTTGGTGTTTGTTTTTTGCCAAGTCACTGTAGAGCTAGGTTTTAAGGCTGTGGCTGTACTAGAGAATGTGTTGGCTTTAAATGGTTGCAAAATTGACCATTACAGTTTGACTGCGTACACTTCTTATACCTAAGCGTGTCACAAGACTTTGGGAGGTATACAGATTTCACAGAGGACCTTGCTTCTTTCTCAGTGTTCTGCAGGAACCCTTAGTTCTTCTTTTTAAAAGATGAAGGTATATTGAAAAAAAAAAGTTTATTTTATTCTTCCTTATTGTCCAGAGCTAGAATACTCATCGGACGGCTCTGTATTGGATGGTGGGGACAGCAAGACTAAAGCTGGAGCACAATTGAGAAGAAAGAGGCCAGCAGGTCGAGGGAGGTCATCCTGCCCCTCTACTCTCCCCTGGTTTGTCCCCATCTGGAGTACTGTGTCCAGTTCTGGGCCCCTCAGTTCAAGAAGGATAGGGAACTGCTGGAGAGGGTACAGCAAAGGGCCACAAAGATGATTAAGGGCCTGGAGCATCTCTCTTATGAAGAGAGACTGGGGGACTTGGGTCTTTTTAGTCTAGAGAAGAGAAGGCTGAGGGGGGATCTGATCAGTGCTTATAAGTACTTAAAGGGAGGGAGTCAGGAGGATGGGGCTGGTCTTTTCTCAATGGTGCCCAGTGACAGGACAAGAGGAAATGGGCACAAACTTGAGTATAAGAAGTTCCACCTAAACGTGAGGAGGAACTTCTTTACTGTGAGAGTGGTAGAGCACTGGAACAGGCTGCCCAGAGAGGTGGTGGAGTCTCCTTCTCTGGAGACATTCAAAAACCACCTGGACAAGATCCTGTGCAACCTGCTCTAGTGTGGGACGAGGCCTGAAGAGCAGAACCCCGAATACTGCTCAATCAATAAGCAGGGACGTGTCCTATCCAGGCGCTCTGAGGCTCCCTCAGCGTCTTAGTTGTTCATGTTCCTGGGGGCTTCAGAAGTTTGCTGATCAGAGAGATGGTCGGAGTCGTCACTCGATGATTGTGCCAGGGATTCATGAAAGGGTTGCACGTTCTTCGTGGGAATCCACCTGGGACCTTTTTCTGTGGAGACACAAGCATAACTTCTTCCCCACGTAACAAAAGCATATGGTCCCATGATCTTACCTGTTTCTGGGTCATGAACCAACACCGGGGCTTTAATTTGTGCTTAAAGTGAAACATTTGCAATAAAATGCCGAACTATGGGGAATGAGGAATTCTGGTAATGTGGGTCACACCCCAGGAGTCAAGAAAGGCTTTCGTTGCAGTTGAGACATATGCAGGGCTGTTGTCCATTTTTATTTGAGAGGGTATGCCCGAGGTGGCAAAAGCATGCATCAAATGTTTGCGGATGTCAAGCGCCTTCTCCCCTGTGTGGCAAGAAGCAACCAAAGCACCTCAAAAGGTGTCAATGGAGGAATGTACATATTTCAATTTACCAAACTCCGGCCAATGCGTAATGTCCGTTTGCCACAGCTGTAAGCTCTGTAGTCCTCTGGGATTGACCCTGGTAATACAAAAAGTCCTGACAATGTTGCAGATGATCTTCCAAACAATAGTGCTTGTGTTCTAGGGGGTAAAGGCCCCGAGACATTTGTTGACAATAGGTGAACCGAGGAATCGAGTAACGTTACTGTGTGGGAGGTTGCCAGGCCCAATCCGGCACTACTGGCTGTTGCTGGACAAAGACTTGAGGCACTGCTGCTTCCCTCCATGGGGTTGGAACGTCGGCTGCGGTACTTGTGTCTGCCCGCGTCGCTGCCCTGTGCTCCGTGGTCGCTTTCCCTGTATCGGTTGGCCCTGGAAATCATACTTAGACTGACACTGATTAGCAAAATGACGTCCTTTTTGGCATCTTGGGCAAATCCCAGGGGCTTGAGAGCTGGCCACTCCATTCGTTACCAGGCAATTCCTTTTCAAATGGCCTGGCTTACCACAACCGTAACAGTTTCCCATGCCTGATGGACCTTTCATGGCCGCAAAGGCAGCAGCCATAACCTTGAACTTGTGATCCACAGTGCCGATCCTATTACAAGCTTCCACCATTTCAATCAATGTGGGATTCGGATTAGGAAGAGATTTCAATAGCTTTTTACAATCAGCATTAGCATTTTCAACAGCCAGCTTCAACAATAGTATTTCCTGAGGCTCCGTGTTGTCTGTTTGACATTCCAAAGCCTGTTTCAGTTTGTCGATAAACTGCATGTAAGGCTATTGGGGTCCCTGAGTGATAGTGGTAAAGGCTTTCTGCGGTTTCTGTGCCTGAGCCTCCGTGTTGTCTGTTTGACATTCCAAAGCCTCTTTCAGTTTGTTGATAAAGTGCATGTAAGGCTCTTGGGGTCCCTGAGTGATAGTGGTAAAGGCTTTCTGCGGTTTCTGTGAGTTGGGGATTTTAAGAAAAGCCTTTTTTGCTTCTTCGCGGGCCACCTCGTGAGTTGGGGATTTTAAGAAAAGCCTTTTTTTGCTGCTTCGTGGGCCGCCTCAAGAGCCTCCCGGGGGCAGTCTCAAGGTTGAGCTGCTGGGTGCGAGTGCTGACCTGTACCGGTAAGGTGCTCCATGGTCAGCGCAGCCAACGCAGCGTTATTATGAACCACGTATGTAAGAAGGAGTGCCTGAAGTCCCCTTCTCCAGTGTGATTCCCATAGCGAGTATTGAGTCAGAGTCAGTAACAACTGTGCTAGATATTTTAGATCATGAGGAGTCATAACATATGTGTCAAACACGGAAGACAACAGACTCGCAAAATAAGGTGAAGAAAGCCCATGCTCGGTGACGGTACGGCACAGTTCCTTAATAACCAGAAAAGATAGGGCTTCCCACTCTAGGTAGACCCACTCCGTTGGGGGGGGTTGGACTTGATGATGTCCAGAGGTCCCTTCCAACCCCATATGATTCTATGAAAGAGGCTTCAGCTGAATTGTTCAGAACTTTTTAATGTTTGTTGAAATAGTGGGAGAGAAGACCTTAAAGGTTCAGCTCTCTTTCCTTTTATTGGAGGTGTGAGTTTGACAATAAATTTCAGAGAACCAAAGAACTTGAGAGAATTGCCATACCCGGACTTAACTTTGTTTGTAAATTACATGTCCACAAACTGACTTCTACGCTCTAGTGTAGCAGGGTGGTGGTGTTGGGGGGAGTGCCATACACACTTTGCCTTCCCAGTGTTAAAATGTTGGCTGTAAAGATTTAGACCTACTCTGTTGTGGCTGTGAATTTACATGTAGAGAAAAGAAAGGGAATAAATAATTTTCAGTTCAAGTACTTGTCATGCTTTTGCAGCAATTTGTGACCAGTAGAGATGCTTCCATTTTCCGAAACTCTTGTTTGGAATTAGGATTTTAATATTATCTTCTGTTTTATTAACGTGCAAAGTTTGGATTGCAAAACTTGAAAAGGGAGTGCCATACACACTTTGCCTTCCCAGTGTTAAAATGTTGGCTGTAAAGATTTAGACCTACTCTGTTGTGGCTGTGAATTTACATGTAGAGAAAAGAAAGGGAATAAATAATTTTCAGTTCAAGTACTTGTCATGCTTTTGCAGCAATTTGTGACCAGTAGAGATGCTTCCATTTTCCGAAACTCTTGTTTGGAATTAGGATTTTAATATTATCTTCTGTTTTATTAACATGAAAAGTTTGGATTGCAAAATAACTTGAAATTAGCTTATTTACATTTGTTCAAACTAAATGGATCACAAAATAAAGAAGATGTCTGATAAGCTGTGTCTTTAAAAGAGGAGTGAAAATTGAGATGTATAGAGTTTAAACAAAAGTATTGTTTAAAGCTTACACTTACCATCTTCAAATTAACATTACTCTTGACTAGAGATAAGAGGGAAGGTTCTGTTATCACAAGAAATTTTTTTATTAAAACAAAATGTGTTTTGTGGCAGAAGGAGAAACTCCTGCTGGAGTAGGTTGTTTTAAGGGCCTGCTTAGTTTGAGGAAAAAATCCTGAACATTTCTGTTTATGAAGAAGAGAGACTGCATAGTCCGATGGCTAGGACTTGTGAAATATAGTTTCTTTGCCTAGTTCAGAGCAAAACTTTGCAGTAGTTTTTGTATGGCTGATGCTCAATAGGTGAAGGTGGCCCATGATGGAGGAACTGAAGGGTCAGTTTTTTCTGTAGCTTGGTTATTCCAGAGTAGCTCTGTTTTAGTAAGAATTTTGCCTGCTGCTGCTTCAGGAAAAAAAAGCCCCAACAAACTGACCTTCACAAATACCTTTCTCTCTGTGTTGTCATAAAATGCAGTATAGTTGGCGTTTGGCATATCTTTGATGGTAAACATTCAGTTTTCATTTCCTACCAGAAAATGGTGTCTCTCCTTTCCCTTCTTGTTAGATAGTCACTCTTTCCTAAGATGTCATATAGACTTGCTTATTGGACCCCTCTGAAATTTATATATATATATGCTTTGTTTGACTTCCTGACTCAATAAGAATTTGATGTGCTTGCTCATTAGCAAGGAAGTAAAGAAGCAGCAGTAGCAACAAACTTGAGACACTGGATAATACACCCTTTTTATTTTTTTTCTACTACAATAACACTAGTATACTTTAATTTGGATGGCTTACAACCTTCTTTTATCCCATTTATGAATATTATACTAAAAAATTACGGTGACAAGGTGAGAGTGGGTTGTCAAACAAGTGTGTAGCCGAGGAGTGGAGTTAAGATACCCACCTGTAGCTTGTGGAGTGCTCTACTTACGGTAATAAAAAATTACGGTGACAAGGTGAGAGTGGGTTGTCAAACAAGTGTGTAGCCGAGGAGTGGAGTTAAGATACCCACCTGTAGCTTGTGGTGTGCTCTACTTACGGTAATAATAATCTGTAAGGCATTAGGTGAAAGGTCATAGAAATGTGCCATTTAAATATGCATACATGTTAATTTTAGACTTTCCTGAATACTATGAATATGCATGTGCTTTTAACATTTATTCTGTTGATGGATTTCTCTATGCAAATCAATAGACTGAATTTTTAAACTTCAGGGAGCATCAAGAAATTTGAATTCATATCTACCTTCTAACTTTGGGAATTCATGGTTTGAAGCTTCTGTATTTTTTCTCTGTTAATAACTTTATCCTCTGCTCACAGGCTTCAGGTATTCCTAGCTTTTTGAGTTTACATTGCCTTTTATTTTAATCATCTCCTGACAATGCCTGAAATACCCAGTGTCACAGAAACTGTTTCCTGTAAAATAATATAGGCTATACAGAGAGAAGTTTAGAAGCTGAAAATGCAGAACATTTTTTCTTGTCATTAGCTTTTGGTGTGATGAGTTCAGCTGTCATGGTTTCTTTTCCTAATTTTTAGTATTATTTTAAATATTATTTAATATTTAGTATTATTTATTAGCTGGTTTGTGTTTTTTTCCTATAAAATTTGCATCAACTCCATTTAAATTGGATGTATTTATTGGTATGGTAAATCCCTAAGGGGACCAAAAGCATACAATATTTTAGTAAATTAAGTTTTTACATTACGGGTGTTTTGGTTATTTTATTATTATACTGACCAGACTTTTCCTTATTATATGTTATATATATTATATGTCTATTACATTATTATTACGTCACCATTTTTATCTGTTTCTTCATGCTAGGACATTCTGAAAAATCAAAGCTGTTTTTATTTATTCTGGCAGTTCAGACAAATAGGGTTACCAAACGTATCTTGCTGGCAGTAATGAAACCTGTCTTAAATAGTGAAGACAACATTCTGGGCTAGAGAAATATTTTTGTGTTGTACACTTGAAGAGACCTCCCTGAAGCTGGATCTCTTCAGTACCAGTGGGACTCTTTCCTCTGCCAGCTAGATACTGGCTAGACGAGTTGAACAACATGCCCTTAAAATTGGGTGGGGACAGTCTCTGATCTCACATCCCTGTCATCTTAAAGTTCTGCTGTGCTTTTTTCTCCACCCTCAGTGGGGAAAGCATCAGGTTAGGGAACACTTAAATACGATATACGTCAATCCACCGGGCTCGACAGGATGCTCCCATGAGTGCACAGGGAGCCAGCTGATGTCATTGCAAGGCTATTCCTTATTACCTTTGAGAGGTCTCATGGGCATTGGGAGGGGCTCTTGAGTACTGGAAGAGAGCCAGTGTCAATCCTGTCATCAAGAAGGGTAAGAAGGAGCATCCACGAAACTCCAGGCCAGGCAGCCTCACTTCAGTCCATGGGAAGGTGGTACAGCAACTAACCCTGAAAACCGCTTCCAGACACATGGAGGACAGGAAGGTGAGTGGGAGCAGTGAGAAATGGCTTTAGGAAGGGGAAGTCCTGCTTAACCAAGCTAATAGCCCCACAGTGGTGTGGTAGATGAATGGAGAGCAATGGATGGTGTTCATCTTGAGTTCATTTGAGCTTTTAACGTTGTCTTCCATGCCATTGTTGCAGAGAAGCTGATAAGGTATGTGTAGAGAAGTGAAGGATGAAGTGTATCAAAAACTGGCTGAGTGGCTGGGCCCAGCTCATCAGGGTTGTGATCAGTGGCACAAAGGCCATTTGGAGGAAGCCATTATTATTATACCCCAGTGTTCAGTACTGGGGCTTGTACTGTTTAACCTCTTCATCAAAGTCCTAGATAATGGGACGTTTTGCCCTCAGCAAGTTTGCAGATGATGTGGGGGAGTGGCTGGTGCAGGATATGTTTGTGCTGCCATTCAGAGGAACCTGGACAGAACAGCAAACTGGACAGAGGATCCTCATGAAGTTCATCAGAAGGAACATGCTAAGTCCTCCTCCAGGCAGTAGTAGCTGCATAGGCCAGTACTTGCTGGGGTCTCACTAGATGATCAGCAGCTCTGCAGAGAGGGACCTGGGAGTCCTGTTGGACAACAAGCCAACCATAAGCCAGCAGTGCATTTTCAAAACAAATAAGGCCGACATCTCCCTGGGCTACATTAGGAAGAGTGTTACCAGCAGTTTGAGGGAGAGGTCATCTTTTTCCTCTACTCAGGCCTGGTGAGACCACTTGTGGAGCACTGTGTCTCCTGACAGGCTCCCTGGTACAAGTCAGATACGGATTTACTGGAATGAGTTCAGCAAAGGACCACAAAGGTGATTAAGGAACTGGAGCATCTTTCCTATGGGGAAAGGCTATACTCTTTCTGATCTTCTAAGGAGGTATGAGTTGGTCCTCAGTCTTTCAGAACACTCTCTGGATGTTATAGTTTATTTTTTTCAGAAGATACTTTCCAGATTTAAAATTAGTAAGCCATCAAACTCTCATTTTTCTCATGTAAAATTCTGTGAAGGTGGAAACAACGAGGGAGACTTTTATCTTTGTTAATGCTATTGATGGGGCCACAGGCTGTTGGCACAATAGACAGTATGCCCTCAAGAGGATGTTACAAGGTAGCAATGCATTGCTGCAAAGTGATGCTTTTAAAGTTCATAACCCTGTCTGTGATAAATTTGAGTAGTGTTGAGACATTCCTCCTCTCGTCTGCAATGGGTGTGGACCTGAGGAAAATAAAAGGTAGGATTACCTGGTTTTGCACTTGATTCTTATAAGTTGCAAAATTGTTATACTCTTTATAACAATTAATTTATTTTAATTTTAACAATTAAAGTTAAATATATTAAAAGTATGATACTGAATGCATTTCCTGTAGTTAGAGCTACTTGAAGCAAATAATGAAAGTAGTCTCAAAAAAATCATAGCAGTTAAATGTGAATGTATATTACCTTAAATATCATAGTCCTTTCAGGATTCTGTACTTTGGTAGTCAGGCTCGTTTTTTCTTATTTGACCTGTTTATAGAAAACAAAACATGGAACTGACATTCGGAGTGCTTTAATTACACTTGCTTGCTCTGCTCTCTGCCCTTGCGATATCCCAGATAATTTCTTTCCCCTGTCAGTGTGCTCTCTTGTCCACTTACTCAGCCAGTGCAGAGATTCCCCTGGAGTGAATTCTCATGGGAGTCGCTTTTCCAGCTCCTAAAGGGTACTACACACTTCCAGGTGCTGCATGGTTATTTTTGGTGTTGTGTGAGTAGACAAACAGAGAGAGAGAGGGTTTCTAGTGCTGTGGTGAATGGAAGTGAAGCTGGAAGAAATTCCAGATAAAGGATTATCTTTATAAGGGAGCAGGAGTGATCACTTAAATTATTTTTTGTGTAAACGGTTTATTCCAGACCTCAGTAGCCTTTGGTTTTTTAATGGTATGTTAAGGCCAGGTTGCAGACGTTTCTAAAGTAAATCACTGTTATTCCACTGCGTTAGCAGGAGCAGAATAGGAGACATTATAGAAATTTCTGGTGTTTGAAGGAAGTCAGGTTAGATCATAAATGTTGCAATGTTTGAGCTAGAGACTTTTTTTTTTTAGTTATTATTATTTCAAAGCTTTGTCAGGTCTGATTGTTTCTAACATTTTATAGATGCCTAGCATAAAAAAAAAGTCTGTTTTCTTGCCTTATCCTTTTGCTCCATAACTTTTGGCAGCACAACTGCAGCTAAGTGAGTTAATAAATGCACCCAGTTCTGTCTGTAGTGACTCTACAGTTGCCCTGTCTGTAGGGAGGCACATTCCATGAGACTGGAATGTGCCTGTGCTGTATTCCCCATTTTTGATGTATCTTGACAAGATACCAGATGGACTAGCAGGTGCTTGCTAGGGCTCGGCACTGTGCTTAGCCTGTGATGCTCTTGGGTATCACTAGTAGCTAGAAACGACTGCCACATACTGTCAGTCTGCCTGTTTGGTGAACTCATTCAGGAGTGAATGAGGATGAAATCTGTAACTTAAATAGTTGTGGTGGCAGGAGTCCCTAATTTAGCACAAATAGTATGAGAATGAACAAGCATCTCTTTTTTTTTCCTTTTTTTTTTTTTCTCCCCCCGGTACCTCCTCCCCCGTTAAACATGGGGGGGAAAAAAAAGAGATTTTTTTAAAAAAATATTTTTACTGCAATAAGTTACATATATTTTATTAATATATGAGAAATTGTGTGTGTTAAATCTGGGATGTATTCTGTAGTTTGTTCAACTTGATCTATGTATTTCATGCCCCTGTTTTATGTGCATGGAGGTTTTTAGCTTACAAACAAGCTTTGCAAACAAAACTTAAATGTTAGTTATTTTGTCTGTTCATGTTTTGTCCTGATAGTACTGAATTTAAGGTTACAAATAATGTGAAAATTGTAGTCTAAGATGAAAGTTGAAGAAACACTTTGCTACAATGATCTGAAAGCATATTAATCTGAAAGTTCATGAATACAGGGTGTTTTCTGCTTTTGTACTATATTGAATTCTATCTGTGTTATTGCAGTGGCTTTCTGCTTCCCTTTTCTCAGCATGTTACGTATTTTTCTAAAACAAAGACAATATATTAAATTTTCCCAAATACTCTTCAGATGACACAAATCTGTTTGTTTAAAAAGTAGTGTTTCCAGCCACTTCAAAACTGGTGAAAAATAGTTTCTCTCACAAAAGGATCTTATTGACTCAACCATAAAAAAACCCCAGCAGCCCAACCTTTTTTTGATGTTGATTAAGCATACTTGGTGCAACGTTCTTACTTCAGCTGCTGATGTGGCTCAAAGTGGATGACCGAGTTATATTTATGACAAATCTTTTCACTGTGCATTGTTTGGAACCAGCTGTTCTTTATTCCGTGGCATTTACTGCCTTGTTATTGAAGATCATACTTCGCAAAACCGTATAATTAAATTTTATATAATTGAGCATTGGAATAACTATTGCATGTTACCTGAAACAAAATGCTTTACAAAATTCTCTCAGATCCCCCCCAAGAATTAAAATTTAAGGATGGTGTTTGGGTTTTTTTTTTTTTGTTTGGTTGGTTGGTTGTTTTTCTTTTTTCTGTGAACTATTCTATTACCCACAACACAGCAAAACGTAAATTTTATCTAAACTTCTGGAAGACTATTTTCTGAAGTCACTACAACACGGTACTTGAATCAAACACCAGAGGCTATTGCTGAGATGAGACTGAATATTTTGACCACTCTGATTAAAGAAATTTAATTGCGTTTGAGTGTTACCAGTGTAAGGATAACAATATTTCAGCATCTTTTTCTTAATTCCTAGAATTCCTAGAATTGTGCTGCTCTGCCTCAGCAATAGACAACCTGAGCTTTTATCATGCTTTGGTTGAGGAATGGCGGGCATATTTTGAGTTTGTGCTGCCAGGGAATGGTGACTTAAAACATTCAGTGTTAAATTCTGGGCGTACTCCTTCGTTACCAGGAGAGTTTCTGAAAGCAGCAGAATTGTATTTGGCTCTGATTAATGCTGAGAGTAGAACAGCTGTTCTGTCGGTGTTAATGAACAGCGGTTGATCCGTTCTGTAGTGTGTACATAAGAGAAGGCTTGCTAGCAGACAAATGGGTTCTTCATGTCTGTCAGTATAATTAAAGCAGTGTGTTGTAATTGCTTGTACGGTGCATGCTACTTACTTTTCTATTCAAATACTTTAAGTATGGTGTTTTTTTTAAAATTATTTTTTTAATTGAAAGGTATTTCTATGTTTATGAAAGGCAGAAGTGTTCTTCTAAAGTAAATTGCTGATCAATGTTACTTATTTGCCGTCGTGGCTCCCCAGTCTTTCTGCTGGCAGCTTTTGTTTGATGTCAAACTAGGAAGAACGTACAAGCGAATTTCTAAAGAAGTCTTCAGTATTTTTATTAATAAAGTCAATAATGAAATAAGAGTGTATGCTTATGAGATCTGTGTATAGTATGAATCTGAACAGAAGCTGCAAGTGCTTTGAGGGACGCAGAATGCAGAAATGTCTCTGACTTCCAGAGATAGCTTAGGTAATGGATGTATATGGCACGAGGAAAGACTGAGGTCAGATCTGGTAGAGGGAACCTTTCTAGTGATGGGATGTGTTGCAGAGTAACGCGGTAGTCTCAGTTGTTGGTCTAATTAAAGTTGGAAAGCAAGCAAGGAACAAACTGGTGCTTGGCAGCCACAAAGGGTTTTTAGCGTAGTAAACCCTGCCTGTGGCAGCGGAGTGGTCTTGCTGACATCTTGTTCTCACTTCTTGTGATCTGTTTTCGGTTTACCAAAAATATCTTCCTGAGAATAGTGAGTATCCTAAAGCTGTTGAATATTTGCCAGATCATCAAAACAGAGCTCGTGCTTGTAATGAAAATGTTTTTATATTAAAATACGTTCTAGGACAAACTTGTTGGCAATATCAGAAAGCTAGCATCTGTAAGAGTATTTGTGAAGCTTGGTAAAACATGGAATTGGCAACTTAAGGCTGGGTAGCCTATATACTCTAAAAGTTTTTTAAAAAGATGTTACTTTCTTGCTGTTTGTTTCCCAATTTAACTAGGGGTAGAGTGTTTGTGCTATTAGAAGTTACTAAGGTTTTTTAATGAAAATACTCGATTTTTCCACATCTAATTTCCAGATCAATAATACATACAATCAGATGAGACAAAGGGTTTTCTTGACTTCAGTGGTGTGGAGGTCGATATCCTCAATAGAATCATAGAATCGTTTGGGTTGGAAGGGACCTTAAAGATCATTTATTTCCAATCCCCCTGCCATAGGCAGGGACACCTTCCACTAGGTCAGGTAGTTGCTTTTCTTGGTAGTCTTTAACCGTAAACCTGCCAAATTGGCCAGCTGTAGTTGTAAAAATACATCTGTGCTTTGTTACTGCTGTTCTTTTATCAAAACTAGTGGAAGAATTAGGCCTAAAAGAGTTTGTAGAATTAGGCCTAAAAGAGTTTGTAGAATTAGGCCTAAAAGAGTTTGTAGAATTAGGCCTAAAAGAGTTTGTAGAATTAGGCCTAAAAGATTTACAGTTTGCTGCTGACTTTGCACTTAAAGTATTGTGTAGTTTTGGCCTAGGCCTCCGTCTTTACCACTTTGACTCATCTGTCAGAGCAGCACCATCAAAAACTTTTTTAGAGCTTTTAGTTGAAGTACTGAGAACATGAGGAAGACTTGAATCTGCTTGTAGAACAATTTTTGTGGGAAGAAATACATACCCAGTATCAATGAGCTGTGGACAAAGCTCTCTTAAAAACACCTTTATAGTCCTCGGTACATTGTGACAAGAGCCCTGCATTTACAGGCAAAAGATACGTTAGTGAGTTAAGAATAAACTCTTTCCATGGCAGTTGGATAAATAATAGTGTTAGGAAGCTTGACTAGTTTTTTAAAAACGATAAATTGGATTTATTAAGAAATCACAGTTTTAGTGCCTTTGTTGTCCCATAGCTACTAGCTGATTCACCAATAACTTGGCAATACTTCTTAGATCCTTTGTTATGTTCTTACTCAGTATAAGCTAATGTCTCCCTTTGTTCTTGAGAGTGTAAGTGCCTTGGTCTGACAACTTTGTTGTTGTTGTTGTGCTGATATTTCAGTATTGATACCTGTCCTGATTCTTTCATGATTTCAAGATTTCATGATTCCCCTGATTGGAGATGAGAACTGTATCTGAGGGAAGGAGAAAAAAGTAATTTTCTTGCTGCAGTCTGCTCACATTTAATCTGCTGTTTCTTAATTTAGCATCTCTTGTATTGGTTCAGCTGTAAACATACACCTTTTGCTGTTTCTGTATCATTGCTGAACATGATTAATCAGTAAGGGTGAACTTGATTCCTGTTAAAAGCCATTTTTGTGACTCTAGAACTTCTTCACTTGTTTTTTACTAGTCTGACATAATTGGATTTGTTAGAAGATGTCACTGAAAATTTTGTTGAGGTTAATTTAGAAGAGAGTGGATGACTTCAACAGAATAATTTATAGCAAGCTATTTGGGTGAGACATACCTTTAAGCATATCTCTATTTAATGATAGTTAATTTTGTGCATCTTACATTACTGTTGAACTCTGGTTTTGGAGGTATCTAAAACCCCAAGTATGAGCTCAAGGCACACAAAAGAACTGGCAGCTCAACTAACTGCAGTTTAAAACTTACAAATCTGTTAGACTTTCTTTTAGAAGCTGTAACAGTCTTGTCTGTCACTGGAAGTCTCCAATAGCCTGGTTCAGGCCAGAATGCAACAATAATTATAGGTTACCGGGTTCAGATTCCACAGCTCTTACTTACTGATGTTACAACAGCTTTAGATTAAAGTGAGCTACATCTATGCTCTCTAACGTATCTGCACGCACTGTTGTGCAGAGATGTAGAATACAGGTTTATTTGGGTCCCCGTATGAAATATGTGTGGGTGTTTTGTCATGTTTTCACTGGCTGGATTTCTAATTGTGTGTATATCATACTTAATGTTTTTGAATCATTGACAATTTTACAGTGTCTAGCTGCAGAACATGATTCAGATACCCATATAAGTCAGGCAATTTTTCATCCATTTCTTTCGTTTCTGTGCTATAGTTCAACTTCAGGAAATACATAGGTCACATTATCTTGCATTCTCTTGCTTTTTGAGTGATGTACTTGTGGTGAGAGTGGGAGATAGAAATGTATTCTTGGGTTTTAATCTTAATTTGAGTCTTGACACTGTTTCTGGACATGTAGACTCCATTTCCTTTGAACCTAGAGATAACATGGGTTTTGTGGTGGCCCTGAGCATCTTATTTTTTTTTTTCATGAGGAACCTCAGTATGGCCTGTGAGACTGTTAGTTACTAATTAAAAAATCAGCTTCTAGGAAGGTAATGAAAAAGCTTCTAGAATACATTCTAAACAGTACCAGAAACTATTTAAACAAGCTAATTTTGCCACATCTTTGTGGATCAGACCATACACAAGATGCTTCATCCCATGTATAAGAGGGAACAAAGGAGAAAATGTTCTAGTTTTATTTTCAAGATACCTGTGATATATTTGATTAGTGCTAATAAAAGCACTAGTTTGATTGTGCTAATAAAAGCACAAATGTGATGCTCTAAACGAGATGAGGATAGTTAGATTCTAAACCAGATCTGTTTGAGAAAATAATACTGGAAAACAGAAGGGAAATAATGACCAAAACACGCCACGTGTAATCCTCTTGTAATGTAAGCATCTGAAAAGTACTCATTTCTTGTATTTCCAATTGCAGGGACTTGCCATGAGGTGCTGAAGCCTTGTTTCATTGATTCGGAGAGACTGGACCTAAATGGCGCAGCATGACTTTGCTCCAGCCTGGCTTAATTTTCCTACTCCACCATCATCAACAAAGGTATATTCTTTGTTGTTCTTTTGAACAGGCACTCATTATTACAGAAGTCAAAATACAACTTCAACCATAGTAAAAATGCAAATCTCTTCATGAATAGGGTGATAACAGATGATATCTGGATGATATCTTTTTGTCATGATTTAAGTAGTTGTACTGTAGTTGTCGGATCGTACCTCCAGTAGAGTCTTTTGCTTGAGCAGCTGAGTTCATGGAAGGAAGCATGTGCCTGGCCTCATTATCAGAGCTGCTGTTGGATTCAGATTGGCTTCCTTAGGAGTTTAAAATGAGGTAATGTATTTTGTGCTAGAAATACCAAGACAGGGGCATGTGTTTGATGTTCTTGCTTCTGATTTTGCTCTGTGTGCTATACTTTTTACAGAAATGTGATTCTATCATCCAAGTGATTTAAAAAAATGGTTTTGAAATAGGCCTTCAGAAATGGCTCTTGAGTTGCTAGTGGGATGCTTGTTACCACTGGTGAAGTGGGGCACTTTCAAATAGCTGTGCATCTTCACTCTGGTGAAGACTACTGTTACTCAGTTTATACAATAGGATAGTTAGCCTGGAAACAGGAAATAGCAATCTCTGAATTTTTAGGATTTATGAATATTCTAGGAATTCCTGAGTATGTCTTTCTCATAAATGTTTCTTTTTTTTCTGGCCTGTCCTTTACTCTCTTAATTTGTGCAAATGCAGAAGCAGGGGCAGCACTGGATATTCAAACTCCTGTCATCTGTTTCTCTATCTGTAGGCCTGTGTTCTTTGTTATAATCTTTTGAATGCAATATCCATATCTGCAGCTATGAGAGTGGCATTGCCTTACTTTAATGTATTTCTGTAAATTTCCTGCTGTCTTCCATGTCCGTGGGAGACATTTAACCTTTATAAACCTAGGGAAATAGGCTTGTCCTATTGTTAAATGCACAGTTAACCATCAGTTAGTTGTATTCCTGTTGCTTTGCTTATATATGTCTACACACACATGAATGCATTTTTTTAGTCAGGCCATTGAATGGCCTTATTCATATTGTTCTATTTATTATCTTGCTTCTGCACTGACCTACCTAGCTTCTTTATTATAGTATAGTCTATTAGCAACGTTCAGTTGCTCTTCTGGGAACATCAGGCCTATCTGTTCCAGGATGGTTTCTGTGATCTGTTTGTTTTCGTTCCACTTGATTTCTGATATATTCAACTCTTTTGATCTGCTTTTTTCAAATTTAAAGCATCTTCAATTAGAAAAGGAATCAGAGCTTAGTTTAACATGGTGTCACAAATTACAAAACAATCTTCACCACATATTTCAAGAATCTGGTGGAAAAGCTTTATCTGTATGCTCAGAGTGTCAATATAGCAGGATAAAAGTAAGTCAAGAACTACTCCAGTAACACTGGAATATGTTTGAGCTATGGGTTGTATTTGTCACCTCATTCCTGAATTGTGGGAACCTTCATTGCAAAAATGTGTTGTGCATCCTGTTTCCTTTCATGATTCCTTGCCTTAAGGAATTTAGATAGACTTTCCTTATCTCTTTCAAAAACTCAGTAGTTGTATGCTTTACCTATTACAGTCTTTGTGCTTCATTGTTTGAATTGCAGCTTATTTCCTTGTCTTAATTCCTCCCTCAGCGATCAGTGTTCTGTGATGCACAAGACAGGTCTCAAATATGGTGATCCTCTGTCCCCCTCATTTCCTGGAACAGATTTTTATTTTGCTTTCCATATATCAACAAAGCAGCTGAAGAGAAGAGCCAATAAGAGGGATGGAGATGAAGAGGAAGGATAGGGTGAGGAAGACAGAGTGTCTCTTGTCTCATGGAGAATGGAGCTGGGGTGAGGCTGTGGTATCAACAACATTTAGACTTGAAAAGGAGAAACTGAGCTCTTCCTGGTCAGTTTTTATTTCCCTGAAGAGGAACTTTTGGAATTGAAATTTAGGAGCATAGTTTCCCTCTCAGTCCTGGAAGCTGTGGCTTTCCCTTACGTAAGTAAAGGCTAGCTTTAGAAAAACTGCCAGAAAGCTGGGACTGTGAATGAGCTTTCTTAATGACTTATACACAGATTATGGCTTTACTGAAATCTGTCTCACCTGTCACTGATGATTAGCTCTTAAGAAGAAGATTGTTGTATCATCTCCCTGTCAGTTATAAAGCAAAGTTCACTTAAATAGCTGAGTGTCCATTTCTTGGTAGCTTTAGTTCAGGTCTGGAACTACTATATTCGTGTCAGTGCACTTTTGCAGTTGGGCAGATGGAAATGGGAAGGTGTTGTGAATAGTGAAGCCATCTTGGGATGTGTTGAGAGATAATAGTTGTTTAGCTTAAATAAGTAAATTTTAAGTAGAATAAATTACTTTGGGTTATAATATGGTGTGATTTATGCTGTTTGCCTAGCTTTACTTAGCATAAATAGCTAGATTTGCTGAAGACTTAGGCTGCAGTAGAGTTAATTTTCTTAGTAATTTTCCTGGCAGCTGACTTTGTGCTGTGTTTAGTCTTTTAGTATGAGAAAAACATTGATGAAACATTGATGATTTCATCTCTGAAGGTCCCTTCCAACCCCTACAAGTCTTTGATTCTGTGATGGTAGCTTTTTTCCCTAAGTTTTGGACTTTTCAGTTTCCCATGTTCTGCCAGTGAGCGCTAGTGCACAAGAATCATAAACCAGAAGATAAGGAGCTTCCATCCATCAGCAGAGACCGCGAATCAACAAGATAAGAGCAGTCAATGGTCTGCCTGGAGACAGAAAAAGAATCCAGCAAGGTGTTAGAAGACCTCAGTCCAGAAATCACCATTGGACTAAAGACATGTGAACAGCATGAGAAGAGACCATGTTAAGCAATAAGACTACTTCTTATACTTCAAAAACCTGTGTTACTTTCTTTCTTGGCTTGCTGAACCTAGTCAGATAACTTCTCAACTTCCAGAAATTGCCAATAGGTTTTCTGTTGATCACAAAGTTTACTGTCATCTCTGCCACAAGAGGCTTGATAGACTGATACCTCCATCATGTGGGCAAAGTGCAAACTGCATGATCTTTGCACACAATTTAGAGACTTTAGATTCATTATTTCATGTACAAATCAAACACTATGTTCAGGTATACTTTGTAAAAATGTGATTGTTCTTCAAAGTTCATAGAAAACGAAAGTGAAAATCCAAAGGCAATATTGGAAGGTTGTCATATGTAAATGAACACATGAACCTATCTTCTAAAATTTCATCTATGGTAAATAGATCTGGAGCTTTCTGAAATTTTTGGCAGCTTATTAAAAATTTGTTTATAAGGATTCATATTTTACTTAAATATTGAGATTCATTATGATAGTTTTTGAACTACTTAGATCTTCTAATAGTTTCTTGTGGTTTTCTTTCTTTTTTTTCTTTTTCTCTCTGCAAGTTTGTCAAGGAAGTAATTAACTTCCTAGGTCTCAAACTGAGAGGGCAATCACTTTTCATTTGAATTCTGTACATTTTGGAATCACATGCTTTGTATTTTAAATATGTCTGTTGCTTACCTGAGTTTGAATTTTAAGCAATGAATTTTAAATTTTTTGGCAGCAACCAAAATAGCAGAGTATTATCAACATTTTTCTTCTGCTAAAAGACTAAACACAGCACTGTACCAGCTGCTAGGAAAATTGCTAAGAAAATTAACTCTATTGTGGCCTAAGGCTTTAGCAAATCTAGCTATTCATGCTAAACAAATGAAGTTACGCAAACAGCATAAATCACACCATATTATAACCCAAAGTAATTTATTCTTCTTAAAACTTAGTGAAGCTAAGCAACTAATGTCTCTTGACAACTGTGATTTCGGTTTTTTTGTTTGTTTTTTTCCTACTCACTTAGATCAGTGATGTACTTTAAATATTAATATAGCTGGATTAGATGTTAGTGGATAATAACGGTTGAAATAAACTTGTGGCTTTCATTTTCAAACATACACAATTACTGCTGTACTTTTTTTTTTTTATGAGCATTGCTCGGTCTGGAGAGGGACTGAGCTTCAGGCAGCGAAGTTGATGGTTTTGGGTGCTGTAAAGTTGATCCTCCCTGGAGTTGTTAATCTGAGGGTGCTGACACAGTACGCTTCCACGCGGCTATGCATGGAGGCGTTGGTAGCTCTTACAGCCCTGGGACGTGTTGGATCTCTTGTAGGTGTGCAGTACTATGGACATGGGTGTGGACAGTGATTCTGTAGGGAGGGATGGGGCTTTGCTCCTTGGGCATCAAAGGCTGGCAGGGAGGTGCTGGGTAGCACAGCCCTCTGCTGCCGCACACCCGGAGGTGTTGTGCTGGCAACAAGAGTAAGGCTAAGCACTGCTTTTTGCAGAGTGAAAATTTACTCTTGAATTTTTAAGATGTAGCAGCAAAAGAAATGTTACAGGGTTAAAATAGTGAAGCCAGATGGAAGTAATAGGGAAGACAGCCACTGTAAGACATGATCGTTTTTTGGTTTAATCCCCTTAGGTATGAGTTCCAGCCAGGATGTATTTTGATTTGAGTGCTCTTCTCAACATAAGGTTTTAGTTTGTAAGGTACTTTCTACTGATATATTAAGACTTACTTACTTAACATTTCTACAATGTTTTCTTATAAGCTGTTAATTTGAAGTATACTTTGAATCTGTGCACTTTCGACTCTGGGTTTTATTTTTATTTCATGACTGGTTGCATTTTCTTTATTAAGTGATAATGTCGAGACTAATAAATTGGCCCTTTGTACAGCTGCCTCTGGTGGAGGCGACTCCTCGCTTTCTATGGAATACACATGTGAAGTCTCTGACCACCTAAATTAAGATCCCAGACTACTTCTTTTCTGCCTTCAAAACTGTGATCTTCTATCCTTCTTACCATTTTTATTTTTCCTCTGGTGCAACGCATGTCACTTGTGGTCTGTTCTTCTGCCAAAACAAATTAGGCACTTTGTTTTTTTGCCTTGTGTCACAAGCATGGGCCTCAGCGTTGTTTCAGTGTCCTGGAGCAGAAGATCCAGCTTCCATATTGCTAGCATAGGAGGTGGTGACAGAGCTCTGAACATATGCATACTTGAGGGTGGCTACATTGCCTGTCGTTCAAAGTGCTCTTAACAATTAATTGTATATACCATGAGTAATGGGCATGTTACAGTTCTGATAATTCAGTTTTGTTATTAATCAGATATCTCAGGTCTACCGCTTGTGCTCCTTTACAGTCATCACTGAACTTTGAGAAACATTCTGAAAATTTTTCGTGGACAGAAAATCGTTATGAAGCAAATCGCAGAAGACACAACTCTTCAGATGGGTTTGATCCTAACGTTGGACGGCCTAATGGAGGTATAATTTAGGTTTCGTGGAGCATTCTGAACATGTTTACATCATTGCTTTAAGCACTCTAGCTGAAAAAAAAAAAAAGTCTGGTAATAGCTCTCCTATGTTTAATTCTTATTCTGTAGTAAAATAGAGGGAAAGACAGATCATCTGGGAGGGGGTGTGATGACTAAAGGTTTGTTAATACTGTTCCAGGTGTATTTCTCTCTTAAGAAGTATAAGAGTGTCAAGTTAATATTCTAGCCAACAACATACAGATGAGCAGCCAGAAAAGGAGGTTGACTTGTCTTAATGTTGGACTACTGTCCTCTTTCTCTGACACTGTTTTGTGAGGTTCTTCCCTGCTGCTTATGTGAAGGAAAACTTAAGTTTACAATGCTATCACATCCCAGAGTATAGAGCTGCTACTTCATTTCTCGAACAGTTTTGTAAACGTAGAATATTCTTTTGAAATTGTTTGTAATTACATATCTTTAAAATTTAAAAATCTAAGGGCATTTTGGGAGAAAAGAGAAGAATGGTTGGCGTTCACAAGGCAGAAATGGTACAGAAAATATAAGCCATCGTGGGGGATACCATGGCGGAGGTTCCCGTGTGCGGACCAGTACTTTCCATAGTGGAAAAGGCCAAGGACTGCATGAAGACAATGTACCTGATAATGAAACTGGGAAAAAGGAAGACAAAGAAGTACCCAAACAGTTTGAGGCTGAGGATTTTGTAAGTTAATTGTAATTATAGTAAACAAGGTTTCATTGTTTCTGCAAGTACCATTTTGTCCATTCCAAGCTACTTCATGAGATTTCACCAGTTTCAGATCATCATATAAGGGATCACCCTTCCCATAGGTAAGAGGGTGTTAGTCATTTCTCCACTAACTTTTCTCTCCTTTTATATCCAGTTTTTGTCATTATTTGTTTTTCATTGTCACTTAAGTGTTTAAGGGAAACTACAGTTGGGTTCCAGTATACTATGGTATGTGTATGTATTAAATTATACAGTTACCTTGCTGGAAACCTGAAGTACTAACACAGTGATCTTTCTGCCAGTGGCCTTTTGAGATCCCATGCTTTAACATACAATTATAGGATGTAAGAGGAGGGGTGATCTTTCTCTTTGAAGAACCATACATTACTGTTTTTTGCTTTCTCTAGACAGTTCATGTAATGATATTGACTGCTCCCTGAGATGTTTTGTTGGAGAAGAGAAACAAGTGAGCATTGACCTATTTGGGTCACAGGGGGAATCTAGTCTGCCTCCAATTAAAAGTCTTTGACAGCAGAGGTCATACTGCTAATATTATTGTGATTCTTTATTTAATTGGTCCCAGAATTCAAGACTTATGTTTTTAATAATGATAAAACTTTCTTTCAGCCATCTTTGAATCCTGAATATGAGAGGGAACTAAATCAGAATAAATCTTTAGCTGCGGGTGTGTGGGGTAAGTATTTTTGATGTTTTTAAATGTAAAAATGTAACAGACATCTGAATTTTGGTTTTTTTGTAAGAATTATAAACATATAGATTTAAATTGTAAAGGCATAGATTGAAATTGAGGAAACTTCCACGTTATTACAATGAAAGTTATCTTTGTTAGAGAGGTTAAGACTTCTATTTGAATATCCATCTGTTGGTCTGTAGATGCAGCCATAGCTAGTATACTATATTATACAAAATTTAACGACAACTAAGTATACGGTTATCATGAACATTTTGTAACATCTACCTGCTTAAACAAAGCTAAAGTCACATACGCTTTTAAGATAGGTTTTTTTAAAATTAGGGTATGATGACTCGGCACATGAAGTAGAAATGCTTGCAGGGAGAGGAGATAATCTTGGAAAAGGCTGTTAATGCAGCATTGTAATGCATCTGCAAAAAAAAATTAAAGTATTTTTTTTGCTTTTTGAAAATTCTAGAACTGCTTTTAATAGGTGTTCTTTAAAACCATTCAATGTCAGTTACTTAATAACAGCTGACAGTATGTCTCTAAATTAGTGCTCTATTTAATGTTGAAATGTTGTAAGCTTCAGATGTTCTGTTACTCCCATCTGAGGCATGGAGATAGAGAAACGGGTCATTGCCATGGTCTAGAGTAGTGCACATCTCTTGACTTACGTTTATAGAGTCTCAGCGTGAACCATTTGGCTCTCAACTGAGCCAATAATAAATATATAAGTAATTATGTAGTAACCTAAAAGATAAATATGAAAACCATGATCTTTTTTGAAGATTAGGCGATTATCAACAAGTAATAGTATTTGAATTTTCAATTTGGAAACAACCACTGTGTAACTGGCTTCTTTGAAATTGCTGAGCGAAATATTTTACAAATGGCAGTTATAGAAAATGGAATAGAACCTGTGTTTAGCCAGGTTTGTACACTATGTTATTTGTGGAATTTACAGTGGACTAAATTGCTCATTTATGCCCGTTTGCTTTGGGCCATGTGGCTCTCTGTTACCTTATGAGGGAGAAACCGAAGTCTGTATACATATGAGCACACATATATTTATATACACACATGCATACAGACACATTTTTTTTTTTTTCTCAGAGTACCCTTTGAATCCCAAATCTAGATCTCCGAGGATGCTGGTCATTAAAAAGGGCAGTACAAAAGAATTGCAAATATCTGGATTCCCAGTAGTAGGAAGTCTACATTCACAGCCAGTAAGGAATGGAACTGGCACAAGTGTTTATAAAGGATTAGTCCCTAAACCTGTCACTCCACCTGCAAAGGTGAGTCTTGGATATGAGCGGCATGAATGAGAAAAATCATACTGTAATTCTGAATGTGTCTATTTCACTCCTGAGAGTACTGTTCCTAGAGTATTATGCTTTTAACACTTCCTAAGTACAGCACACCCTGAAAGTGAATGGAAACAACTTTTTCTCATTTTTATACTATACTGTAATTGGATCTCTCTTTGTTTCTCATTTACCATTTTTGAGAAGGGCAAGAGTTGTCCAAGTGAGAGTGAAAATAATGTTTTTAACTTACAGAACAGCAATGCCTTTTGTATATATGATTTTAACAGAAAAATAGATACCGAGTAGAAAGATACAGTCAACATAAAAATACCTTCAGAATTTATCTCAACTGTTAATAAAGATGATGTTGCTACCTGTTAGTGTTGTTCTGGTCCCTTTCCAAATGTAACTTTCTATTTTCATATCTTGATTTTTGTTGCAGGATTTTTCTATGTGCTCCTGAGAACACATGGTGGAGTAGTTCTTAACTTTTTTATGTTCTACATTAAAAACAATACTTTCAGCTGTTGAAGACTTGTTTTTATTCTTAATACCTCAAATATGAGGGTCTTCATTGTTTTGAAAATTTGATCTTTATATAAAAAGTGTAAACAGTATTTGTGAGTGGCTGAATTGCTGATAAACAGTCTCTTTTCCACAAGAAAACAGGTGTTTGCACTAAATTATGGTTGTAGTTATGATTTGGTTTTGCTTACTCATTTTTCTGAGGATGTCTGAAAATAATCCAGTTGTATTTAATGACTCTTTAAATTTCTTTTTAAATTTTTGTTCAGCCTACACAGTGGAAAACTCAAGCAAAAGAAAATAAACTTGGGAATCTGTTTCCTCATGAATCTGCGTATGGTGTTGGCAATTTCAGTCCTTTCAAATCAACTGCCAAGGCATTTACTGTATCACAAAATTCAGTGAAAGAGGTAAAGCAATATCTGTTGTTTTCATGAACTCTATAAAATGTTTAATTTGCTTAGATATGGGGATCACTAAATTTTATGAAGAATTGTATTACATTTTTTTTTGGAAGTCAGTGTAAGCAATATGGAAGGCATATCACTGGCCTTCAAGTACTGCACTGTTTCCTTTGTAGGTTTCATTTGGAGTAAAAATGGTGCATTAGGAAGTATGGCCTTATAGGTTTAAACTTGAAAACTGCTAATGGGATGATACTCTTCAGGAAGTGCACTGTCAGTTAGCAGTGCTCCATAAACCAGCATCTCTGGGTTTACATGTAAGAACTATATATACTGAAATACAACGATCTTCCTTCTGCTTTTGACTGTGGATATATGTGAAACCTGAAACTGCAGGTGCTGAGGAGTCTTCTCAGCAAAGTCTTTCTAAGTTTTCTAAGTGAATAAACTCCTGACATTCTTTCTTTTTCTGACTCTCTACATCAGTGTAATCGGTCAAATTCTTCATCCCCTGTTGACAAAGTTGGTCAGCCTCGTTTAACAAAATTGACAAGAATGCGGACTGATAAGAAGAGTGAATTTTTGAAAGCATTAAAACAAGATAGAGTGGAAGAGGAACATGAAGACAAAAATCATGCTGGACAAGAGAAGGTAGTTTGGTTCATACCTACTGTAGTCCCAGCAGTAGTAGTTTTCAGATGGACCATAAACTCCTACTTATTTTGTTGTAAACAGCTGTTAAGTCATGGTTTTGGATCCCTAAATGAAGGAAAGGAATTACACATTGATGAATTCAGAAAAGTTGTTGGAAGCACTGCTCTTCCTGCCATGCTTCTTAGTAGTTTCTTTTTTCTTTTCTGCATTGTCTGTTTATACATATTAATAACTGAAGTACATCTGTGTCTTTAGCAACAATAAAAAGAATAAATTAAGCTTAGTACACTAAACTAATCGTTGAATCACAGAATTGTTTAGGTTGGAAAAGACCTTTAAGATCATTGAGTCCAACTGCTAAGTCCACCACTAAATCATGTTCTGAAGTGCCATATCTACAGTCTCCTTTAAATACCTCCAGTGATGATGATTCTATCACTTCCCTAGGCAGCCTGATCCAATGCTTGACAACCTTTTTGGTGGTGAATTTTTTCCAAATATCCAATTTAAACCTCCCTTATGCAACTTGATGCCATTTCCCTTTGTCCTGTCACTTTTCACTTGGAAAAGATACTTATCCCCACCTTGCTACAACCTCCTTTTGGGCAGTTGTAGAGAGTGATAAGGTCTCCCTTCAGCCTCCTCTTCTCCAGGCTGAACAACCCCAGTTCCCTCAGCTGCTCTTCATAAGGCTTGTTCTCTAGATTCTTTGTGAGCTTTGTTGTTCTTTGGATGCGCTTCAGTACTTCAATTTCTTTCTTGTAGTGAGGGCCACAAAACTGAACAGTGTTTGATGTGCATCCTCAAACAAGAGTACAGGGGGACAATCACTTCCCTAGTCCTGCTGGTCACACTATCTACATACAAGCCAGGATGCTGTTGGCCTTCTTGGCCACCTGGGCACACTGCTGGCTCATGTTCAGCCAATAGTCAACCAACACCCCCAGGTCCTGTTCTGCTGGGCAGCTCTCCAGCCACACTTCCCCAGGCCTGTGGTGCTACATGGAGTTGTTGTGACCCAAGTGCAGGACTTACTGAACCTCATGCTATTGGCTGCGGCCCATTGATCCAGCCTGCCCACATCCTTCTGTAGAGCCTTCTGACCCTCAAGTACATCAACACTGCTGCACAACTTGGTGTCATCTGCAGGCTTATTGAGGGTGCACTCAATTGTTGATAAAAGTATTAAACAGAACTAACCCCAGTAGTGAGCCCTGGGGAACACCACTTGTGATTGGCTGCCAACTGGATTTAACTCTGTTCACCACAACTCTTTGTTACCCCATGAAAAGTACACCTGTCCAAGCCAGGAGCAGCCAGTTTTTCCAGGAAAATGCTGTGGGAAACAGTGTAAATGCATCCAGGTAAACAACATCTACAGCCTTTCCCTCATGCATTAAGTGGGTCATTGTGTCATGGGAGGAGATTAGGTTCGTCAAGCAGGACCTGCCTTTCCTTAACCCCAGCTTACAGGGTCTGATTACCTGGTTGTGCTTTGGTGGTGGCACTCATGATGATCTGCTCCATAACCTTCCCCAGCACCAAGGTCAGACTGATAGGCCTGTAGTTCCCTGGATCCTCCTTGTGGCCCGTATTGCAGATGGGTGTCACATATGATAACGTGCAGTCAAGTGGGACTAGCCAGGGCTGCTGGTAAATGATGCAAAGTGGCTTGGTGAGCACTTCCACCAGCCCCCTCAGTACCCTTGGGTGTATTCTGTCCGGTCCCATAGACTTTTGTAGGGCAGTGTTCCATACCTCGGCTGTTAGTTATCCTACAAAACAATTAATTTAAAATCTCGATTCTGCTGTTCAAACCATTTCCCTTCTAGAAATTAGATAGCCAGGAGTTCTCTATTCTCAATGTAGTCATAGGAGCAATAGTTCAATTTATGCATATATAAAGGACCTGGTTTTACTTAATAATTGAGAACTTGGAGGTATATTCTCTCTATAATATGTGTCAGGTTTCTTTCAATCTAGATTGATTTATGCAGTGGTATCAGAGAATATTTCTGTCAGTGCTACCAGCCACCAACAAGCCATAAGCATAGTTATCATGTATAGTCCAAGTGAAGATAAGTATTGTATTATTCAGGATGAGGTGATTACAAGCCTGTAATCACCTGTAATTGCTGTAAATGAGTTGTTTAAAGTGTTTTAACAAAACAAAAGCCATCATAAATTGCAAATCACCCAGAAAAATGAGTGGTTTTGAGGAAGGCTTATTCGGATTCAGAGACGTGAAAAAAGAAACAGTGGCAGTGTGTATTGCTCATAAAAGTAAGGTTGATTTTTCTGACCCTGTTCTTATTTCAGGCAAAATAAAATTTGCTGTAATAGGACTTAGCTGTATGTGTGAATTAAGAAAGATCTGCATCTTTCCATTAGGCATTCTGTGGCTGAGCACCCTGAGATTTGTGGTAATGTTCATACGTGTTGAAGAAATACATAAAGGTTTTGATTTAAGATTAGAAAGATATTGAGAAACACTGTCCTGAATTTCGGAATTCTGAAAATACTACATCAACTTGAATGGGGTTTCTGTCCTGAAATTGTCTTGAATTCATAATATCTTTATGATACATATACCAAATGCATTTGATTGTCCCATTGTACGCAGCTGATTTTCAGAAGCAAGTGTATTTAAGAAAAAAAGACTTTTTGGTAGTGGATGTTGTAGTAGTAGTCCTTGGCCAGATATATGTAACATATAGCCTGGAGTACTTGTTGGTAAGTGCATTCTTCCTTTATCCTGCTGTTGCTCTTTTAGTAACAGACGTGAAAAGATGTTAAACTATGTTAAACTAGTCATGTAACTAATAGTTGTCCTGTTTGCAACATTCATTATAATTATCATCAGTAGAAGACGTGGTATGCAACTGAGTGGACGGTGAGATAACTGCAGAACAGTCTTATAGAACGTGATTGCATTGATGGAATTTTAAGGCCTGCAATAACAGATTTCACCTCTGAAATAATGAGGCAAATCACAATAAGCAGCTGAATCATATCTTGGCAGAAGCTATTTTGCCCTGTATATATTAAAATTGTGTAATGTTCTTATGAATTTTGCTTAATAATCTGAGGTGGGTTGTTCAGGCACGTGTTTTAATAGCTGAATATATGTTTACTGGGATACTCGTTCTTAAGAAGTTCTTGCTGAGCATTCTGAAATTTCTGAAAGCAGACAACACTCTGAGTCAGAGGGAAATGGTGATGGTGGTCTCAATCCTGGACTCCTAAGCACGATTTCTTACAAGTGCAGAACTGGCTGACTTACTGATTGCCTCCTGCTATGGATAATGCTGTTATGAGCCCCGTTTAGCGATTTTGTTGTCAAAATGATGTTAACTAGATAATAATTGTACTCTCCTCTTTGTTTTTACAGTTGGTAAGACGTCTGAAGCTATTTGGCTCATTACTAAATGATAATTACAGGTTACTGAATGAGTATAATAAAAAGAAACATTTTTGGTTTAATATATTAAAGAGCTTTTAATTTTTGAGTGTACTTCAGCAGTTTGCTTTCTAGATAAACTTTCTTCCTAGGTCTTATTTCATGATTAGTAAGTTACAGTTGCTGTTAACGCAGCCAGAGAAGCTGTGGTGAGTCCATGTGAGCAGGTGATGTTTCAATTTAAGGATCAGTATAGTCTTTCTGAACTTGGGGCAGATGAATTTGCTGGTGTAGGTATGGTGGCTGTGACCTGAGTGAACTTGAGAAATGCTTTCAAACTTCTGACACACATGGGTCTGATATTTAATTAGGGACATTGTTTGTAAGTTCAACAGATAATGTGTTATTTCTGTAAGTATGAAAGGCAGGTTAATTAAGTTTGAATTTTAAGATATGTTGGAAACTTTGTAGAAAAAAGTTTGAGGCAGAGCATGGGAGTTGCTTTCTACAATACTTAAACAGTGGCCCAACTGTGGCATAACTTAAGATTTCTGTAGTATCCAGGTATTGTAATATCTAGAAGTATGAACAGAATTACCCCTGAAGTAGGATAGAGTGCCTCCATGTGAAGTTAATTTAGATTAAACTGAATCCCAGAATTGCAGTACTTGCAGACATTTACTTGTGAATGGAATTCACTTCTAAACACTGTAATCTGTCATTATTTTTAACAGGATGATGAGTCCTTTAGCTTGCATAACAGCAACAGTCCTCACCATGAGAGAGATATAAACCGAAACTTTGAAAATGAAATTCCGCAGGAGAATGGCAATGCTTCAATTACATCTCAACAGATCATTCGATCTTCAGCTTTCCCTCAGGCAGATGTTCTTTCAAGCTCACTTGAGGCAGAGCATAGGTATGTACTTTATATTATATAAAGAGTGTTCCTTCATGGTAAGTGAGCATGTCAGAAATTCTTAATAGTTCAGACGTCAGAATCTGAAGACTGAGAAGACATAAAATGTTTCATGAGACAAGTTTCACTGTCAAAGTTTAGCTTTTAGACATGCACTAATTTAACATGGAATATGCTTTGTTTCTACTAGACTTGTGTACTTACTTAAACTTGCTTTACTTAAGATTTGATGTATTTCCTTATAAGGAAATAAAGCAAACTGCCTAGTGACTTCATCCCTCAGATTTTGGTCTGCTTGTCTAGGAGGACCAGTGTGTGTAATTGCTATTTGTATTAATAATCCTTTAAATAATGGATAATCCTGCATTTTATGTAGAACTGCAATGAATTTTTCCTCACTGTTAAAGTAATTAATTATTTCTGTAGCTGACCAGTTGACACTGTCAGTGATATCACAAGACAATGCACTGGAAAGGGAAAAAGTAGTTTCAAAAAAGGGTTGAAACAGTTCTAATATCTCATAAAAGTAGCTGCAGGAGGAACTGGGGGAGTTGAGAATGATGCTGCTGGAGACGACCTTGTTACGAGCTCTGTCAGATTCTTACTGTTTCTGGCAACTACAGAATTACAATGATAGATTTTTTTAGTGATGGATTATATGTACACATTGAAATTAAAGGGAAGCTTTCATGACCTCTTATCCCTCAGTGTAAAAAGTGAAACGCGCCCTGCTCTGTTCCTTTTTTTTCCACCGTTGGGTATGGAGGCAGAAATCTTTGGCCACTAGAGGCTGCTGGTGACCATTTTTTGACTAGAAGGTGGGAGTCAAATCTAGCTATTATTTTTCAATTCAAATGATTTTGAATGGCCTACACAGGGTTTCTGGGTAAATGTCTTTACTTTGTGGTATCCCAGAGGGGCAGTGCCTCCATACTGTCCCAGCCCTTTGGCTGTGAGCTCTGCATGCATATACGCAGATGTTAGGGTAAGTTTTTTTGTGGGAAATTGGACTTGAAGTGGCAAGCTTAACTCACAGGGTATTTATACATACATAATAACAGTATTGACACATCTTGTACAAAATATATCTTGGGCTTCCCTTCTGCTGGAGAAGTTTCCAACATGCAGGCATTCTGGAAGTGTCAAGTTTGCTAATGTGAAGTTTATTTTTTTTACGTAGTTCACACTTCTTTAACCAGAAGTTCTTTAACTAGAAGCCTAGTGTTGCTTTAAAGGGACAGCAGTCCTGCTAACTTCAGACAATGTTACTTAAAAGTTAATTAGCCATTGCTCTAAATTTTATTAACATTAACAGAACTGTGTAACTATTCACTTCATTGTACATAATACTGTTAACAACTTAGCTTGCTTGCGGTAAGACTTTCTAACTCAAATTACTGTTGCCAAAAATAAAACTATCATTGAACTACATTTGGCATTGCGAGTCTTTTTCTGTATGTCTCTACAAGTACACCTATACTCTTACAAGAGAGTTTTGGATGACTTGCATGTTATTTCTGCTGCTTCCTGAAGATTTGATTGTTGTTGACTGTCATGTTGTCCAATGTAGTGCAAATACGACAGAGGATGTAATTTCCATTTCTGTAATACTTCTGTTAACGTTTTGGCTTTTTAACAGAGCAGTGCTGTTCTCCCCTTCTCCTCCTACAGTTCCAGGCTTTTATATGGTTTTAACAACAGTCATTTGTGTTATTGGTCACCTACAAATTTGCCCAATGTATATCCATTGTGCACATAAATTTACACATATATGTAGGTAGAGCTTGAAATGTCTGAGTGTCTGTTGCAGATTCCTTAATATTTTCGTTTTTAATTTAAAGGTTGTTAAAGGAGATGGGCTGGCAGGAAGACAGCGAAAATGATGAAACATGTGCTCCGCTAACAGAGGATGAGATGAGGGAGTTCCGAGTCATTAGTGAACAGGTAACACAAAGTTAATGCTCCGTTATGAACTTGTAGTTGGCTATCCTAAGTGCCTGCCTTTGAGGAGGATCTGCAGTAATTTTGATTAGGGTTAGGGATGTTGCCATTTCAGTACCATTTCAGTATTGTGCTTTTGGAAGAACGGTTGCTTTAAAAAGACTGGGGACCAGTGCTGATTGTAGGTAAGATCTTTTCTTAAAATACCAAGGAAATGGTAAGATAGTGCTTCTGGATATTTTCAGCATTGCTGGTAGAAGATTTGCAAAGGCTTTCCAGTTCCCTTGGTTCTCCATATTCTGAATTTTCTCTGCTGGAAATGGAGAGACATTTAATTCACTAGTAACAAGGTCTGAAAAGGCATTCTAGACTTGATTATTTTTTTTTTTGGTTAAATTAGGTGTATTGTGTATATATGGTGGGTTCAGAAGGAGCTGAGAGAGAGGAATAGTAAGTCTGACCATTTGATTTTTGCATAAGTCTAGCGACACATGTATTCATTAGAGCATTTGGAATATTAAGTTCTTAAATGCTTGGTTTATTGCCCAGACTCTACACTATGTGTGGAAATGTAGTAATTTCTTTCCTGTTCTAGAATCAGTTGTTTCCTTTCTCTCCAGTGTCTTTGACTTGCCAGCTGCATCAGGTAGACAGATTGGGAATACCCGTGCCTCCTTGCTGCTTCTCCTTTTCTGGGCCCCTTCCTCATTGCAGACCCTGCCCTTCTTAGCACAGATGTTTGCAGCACTGTGGAAAAAGGGACTGCATCCCAAGAGAGACCATGTGGGAGGAGGGATCACTGGGGCAAGACATCTGAGGAAGTGGGCAAGAAGAGGGGTAAGCTCTTGTTGAGGGCAGGAGCTTAGCATAATTGGAAGTGCTCAGATACAGGTGGCTGGCCCAGAAGTGAAGGCTCTCAGGGAAGTTTTCCTTTGTGTGTATCTATGAAAAGGTAGTTTTGGGCATCTAATGTAGCCCAGAGATGAATGTTGAAGTGTGACAGATTGTTGTATTTTGCTTTTTCTTTCTCTAAAATACATCTTGTTTTCTTATTTCAGTTGCAAAAAAATGGCCTTCGGAAAAATGGCATTTTGAAAAACGGCCTCATCTGTGATTTTAAATTTAGCCCCTGGAAAAACAGCACTTTCAAACCTGCTGTGGAGAATGAGGATTCTGAGACGAGCAGCAGTGATACATCAGATGATGATGATGTGTGAAGACTTCAGTAACCTCTGTAGAAGCTTGTTTTGATCTCATGAAAATTTGGGGATGTGTTGTCCAAAAAAATTTTCTAATTTATGTAGTAGCATACCCACTCAAGTAAGAATGATGGGACTTTTCTCTGAAGAAAGCAAGGAATGTTGTGTTGGGTGTGTTACTATAATTACAAAGAAATTACTATAATTTCTTTGTAAACTTTCTTCATCAGTGAAGCATTTCTGACTAGCAATGTGACAATGTAACAAATCAAACTTTCTCATTTAATAATAAAAACAAAGAATTGTGTAATGTGTTGCAGAGCTTCTGTCTTAAAATGTCCCAGTCTACAGGGGGAAAAAAACATGACAGCTTGACACAGTGTTTTTCTTGCCAAGTCATTTCTTTCTTGCAGCGGAAATCCTTGAATCCACTGTGTAGGCAAAAGGGGCAATGTAGCATGTTGGCTAAAATGAGCAAAGTGCACTAAAACTCTTTATCCTTAATTGAGCTATTGTACTGTCCTACTTCTTTCACACGTAACTGCTCTTTAGCCATTTACAGTGTAGTCATCATTATTAATGGCAAAAGACCCTGCTATTGCAGTTCCAAATTTCTAGAGCTAAACTTTAAATTGAAAGCTTTATGGGGGATGGGGTGTTGCAAGGCCCTATATTCTCACAGTGAGCACATTCCTTGTGGGAAAATAAGCACTTTGATTTTACTGTTCATGTGCAGAAGAATAATTACACTGACTGGTTTTGTCCACTACATGGAAAATAAACTGATTTACAGAGTATTGTATCAGTGCCTGCCATTGAGGATATTGTTTTTAAATCTGGTAGGTTTTGTTTGCATTTATATTAAATGTACTCTGGCAGCAGTGACTGTATTTCAGAATGAGTTAAAAATATTTTCCTCTCCAGATCTTTCTTTTATAGCAGCAGAAGTATATCTATGCAATAAGCACTTGTTTTGCTTAATTTGTGTCAAACTTTTTCTTTATGATCACATATTTAAAAAACAATGTTGTATTACTTTTAGTTTTATTTGGTTCATTTTGGATCTTTAAATATTTTCTGCAGGGTTGCACAAACTATGTAGCTCATAATTCATAAGCACAACTGCTCTTGGTGATGTTACGTATATTTATAAAATAGCTTTTATATATATGTATAGACATTCCCCTTCAAGATATTTTTGAATTGTACTATTTCTTATAGTAAGTAATTTGCAATTTAGAACTCCAAAGGAAAATATATATAAAGCTGAGACTTTGTCATATTTAACTTCTTTAGGAGAATACATTTTTAGTAAGGTGGCGTTTATCAGTTTGGGCCAGAGGTGGTATGTATGTGACCTTTTTTATTAGTTTAAATGGAGATTTGTATTCGAGAAGTCAGTTTTTGTCTTGGAACAGGCATGCAAATGATGATGTAGTTAATTCTGGCACAATGTATTGAAATATGCCATTTTCTCATCTAAATTTAAGAGGATAAAAATGTTGTGTTTTTTTTTTTTTTTTTGTTTTTTGTTTTTTTTAAGAGAAAGCTGCCATATCAGTATTGAAGCCTTTCTTAGCTGAGTCTTACACACCTTTCTCCTTCCCTTCTCCTGCAGTTTTTTTAACTACCTTTGATGCCTTGATGTAGTTGATTCCCCTTTTGTTTTTCACAGTCTATCAGAAGGATCTTCTGCTTATCCTAATTACTTAGTGGTATGTGAATATGCTAATTTTATTACTAAGTGAAAACTTTTTTGCCTTGGTATTCCTTAAAGTGGGACAGACTTTTTTCCCCCTCTTTGTTAAATTGAAAATGTCACCTTGTAATTAACCCTTTGGGAAGATACTGTAATTAGAGAAGAGTTGTGTTATGCTAAGTGGATAGACTTGGGAAGTTTGTTGGTGGTGGTTTTAGTTGGTGGGTGGTGGTTTTTGGTTTGTTGTTTTTGTGGTGGTTGTGGGGTTTTTTGGGGGTTTTGTTTTTGTTTTTTTTTTGTTTGTTTGTTTTGGGTTTGGTGGTTTTTTTTTGTTTTTTTTTTTTTTTTTTTGTTTTTTGTTTTTTTTAAGAGAAAGCTGCCATATCAGTATTGAAGCCTTTCTTAGCTGAGTCTTACACACCTTTCTCCTTCCCTTCTCCTGCAGTTTTTTTAACTACCTTTGATGCCTTGATGTAGTTGATTCCCCTTTTGTTTTTCACAGTCTATCAGAAGGATCTTCTGCTTATCCTAATTACTTAGTGGTATGTGAATATGCTAATTTTATTACTAAGTGAAAACTTTTTTGCCTTGGTATTCCTTAAAGTGGGACAGACTTTTTTCCCCCTCTTTGTTAAATTGAAAATGTCACCTTGTAATTAACCCTTTGGGAAGATACTGTAATTAGAGAAGAGTTGTGTTATGCTAAGTGGATAGACTTGGGAAGTTTACAGATTGTAATTCAGAAAATTCTCTTCAGAGAAAGTAGAAATAATACGTATACTTGGTACTTCTGTTTTGCTGGTTTGTAACCTAAAACTGGTAATGGAAACGCTGGTTATAATAAGCTGTGAGCAAAGGAGGAACTGAGCCGTAGTTTTGCTTTGCAGAATGAACCACCTTTACAGCCTTTGTAACTACTTTTCTAAGTGTGTGGCTGCTTCTCCTGTACCTGCTGCGTTGTCCGTCCTGGCTCTGTGCACATGATGTGATTGCTATTTGCGTTTCTCAAGTCTGGCACGTTTCATGCTGGGATTTGATGCTCAGCAGAGGCGTAGCCTTAACCATCTGATTCTGGGGGATCCAGTTCTTGTCCTTCTAGCCACCCCTTCTGCTAGCTCAGAGATGCGTCAGAGGCCTCCACCGTCCCCAGATTAAATGGTGATCTGCCTGCTCTGTTACTTCAGTAAGGGAGGAAGCTTTGGTGTTTCCACTGAGGGACTGGATGGTCTTATGTTCTATTTGCTTATGGCAAAGCTGGGTTCTGCATTGGTCCTCTCTTGCCACCGTAAGAAACACTTCAGTCATTCACTGAGGAACTCTGTTTTCACTTGGAGTTTTTGATTTATAGTTTCTTGGGAAATGTCACTTGAAACAAAGTTTGGTTTTCATATTTTACTTTCACAAAATGTATGAAAACATTCTTTTGTGCTGTCCCCCTCCTTTTTGTTCAGTCCTTGAGGATGTAAAGCAGAATGAAATCTGATTCTCCAGTAGGTAACAATGCGACTTTTTCCAACTTTGACTTTGTTCCTCTCCCAGGGCAATTTTAGTAGTTCATCAGCCTTTCTCTTCTCTTGTACATAAACCAAAATATATTGCCAGGGTACGTCTTCTCTTGTTTTTCTGCTTGAGCAGATTAAACACCAGCAAGAAGGCGTGCATTAGAGGCTTAAGAAGTTGGTGGACTACGCTTGCTCATTCCCTTAGCAGGCTCTTGCAAGCTGTGGGTGTTAACGAAGCTCTGCTGCAGGTGGTTCGTCACTCTTGGGCTGAAAGAGCTTGACGTCAATGACGGTACTCCCTGCTTGCTGCGTGCAGACGTGGCACTGCTGTGTGATTTGCAGTCACTGCCATTTCTCCCCTTCATCCCGTCTTTATTGGCAGAGGCCCATGTCTTCCTGGTTTCCGTCTTTCTTCAAAAGGGAAGATGAGTGATGAGTCACTCACAGATTTTCTGATCTGTTGGTGATGAGGGATGTGCCCTTCATGTCTGCTGCTGGTTTGGAGGGTACCTGTGTTTATGGTAGGGAGGTGGGGCTCCTTTACCTCATGAGGAATGACCAGTGGCCTTCCTCACTGACTTGTACAGGGCCTTTTTCTCTCTTAACTGGTAAGAAAAGCTAGTTATCTTTCCGGAAGAGTGTTAATTACAGTAAGGTTGTCCATTGCTGCATGTTGCACCCAATCGAGATTCTGAGGTAGATTTTTGCTCCTGGTCATCCCACTCTTTGAGAAATGTTACCTAGTGTGAAGGAAATGGACTTACGTTCTTCTGTGAAATTGCCTGTGGGGGGAAATAATCTACTTTTTTTTATGATGGGGACATCAACTTTATTGTTTCTTCTTTAAAGAATACCTGTTTTTCTGTAAATACATATAAACTACTGGCTGCTAGAAACTGGAAGGAGAGTTTAGCCAAGGATGTCTTTGTTCTTCCCTGTTTTCTGTTTGCTGCTAGGCAGTGGCTGAGGCAATTTACTCAGCTGGTCTGATTTGGGATTATTGCCATTGTGCACCAAGAACTGTGGATTCATTAGTATGATAAATGTGCTGGCTAGCTTTCCTGGTGCTGTTACTCATAGTTATCACTGAGCTCTACTGCAGATGGAACGAGGTTTGTTTCCTTCCCTGGTTCTCTCTTCAGCCTTTCCTGGAGGAAGCTGGAATGCGTTTTCCGAGCCGGCCCTGGCAGTGATTTGCGAGGCATCTGGCTCTGTGTGAGGCATCGGTGTGTATGGAGAACTTTATTCTGCCTCTGGAGGTGTGTGCTTCCTCAGAGATTTGAAAGCAGCTTCTGGCGTCCGTGTCTTCATGTGTTGCCATCTAGGAAAGTCCTTCATACCTTCAACCTGTTGGTGGGTAGATTGTCCTGCTCTATTACCAAATTCAGCGCCTACCGAATTCTGCTTCCATAGCAGTTTCAGGTGTGGATCTGATCACCTGATGGAGATGTGAGGTCTTACAGGGTCTATAGTGGCACACATTTCTTAAATCCCTATAGAGATACCTGAGAGTATGCTTGCTACTTAGCCTTCATTCTGTATACATCTCCCTTGGACATCCTCTTAGTATGCAGCTATTTATTCCCCTGGCAATAGTGCAATTGTTTCGGAGAGATGACTTTCCATACTTGCAGGTCAAATGCTCATTTACTTTCCTATCCTATCCAGGTCAAAAATACAGCTTTGAAGTGGAAGGGAGTATTTTTAGCAGCTGATATGATTGTTGACTTCAGAGAAGCTTCTGCACATCAGGCTGATGGAGCTTGGGTCGATATGAGAGACCTTGAGTTCCCCTTAAGGAGGTATGGGGAGATAACTGCTTCTGGTGGTACTGAGCAAGGCACCACAAAGTTTCAGCTTGGGAAACAAAGGAAAGCAAATTCCTTCCACTCTGCCAGGAAGCAGTCAGCCTTGAGAACTGAAGTTCAAAATGCGTGAAAGAGGGATGTAGCCTGAGCTATTACATTTTGCTGGATTACCAGACTGCCTGTGTGCTGTCCTGAGTTACCGCTTTCTAAACCTATTGATTATGAAACCGGCCCCTTCACATCAGGTGCCAACAGAGAGCTCCTGACCTGCTCTGATGTCAGACAGTACCTGCTGTTGGCTTAGTGTTCTTA